TCCTACATTTGAGTGATCACAGCCTCGTTTGTGCCCACAACTGCACAGGGAAAACAGGCTGTGCACATACTTTGTTGGCAGCAATTTCCACAATTACAGTTGTGCATTCTCCAGCCGCAGAGATTATGAGAAGTGTTACTACTGTATCCATGTACTGCCTAGTTGATAGTCTCCATGCAGCCTATGTTCTGCCAAGATAATACGACTGTCTGCAATATGCTGTCATAGACTGATAGCTATGATGTGCTTTATCCCACTCCTTTCGTTGCAGCTGTCCCAGTGGGAAGGTATAGGAAAAAGGGGTGGAAACACATGTTGATATGTGTACCATTGTTGTTTAGATAGATGGGGACACCTGTGGCCCTGTAGATGTTGTTGGACTCCAATTCCATCAGCTCCAGCCAGCATGGTTAGTAGTCAAGAATGGTGGGAGTTGTACTCCAACAGGCTCTCCCATCCCTCTTATACTGTGCAGTGAAGAAATTCACAAGCCACACAAAGAGTAAGGGGTTTCAGATCAGAGCTGTAACATTGTGCCTCTGCAGAACATCTCAGCCTTTAGAAACAACATTGAGCGCATGAAGAAATATCCAATAAACCACCTGGAAAGATAGTTATCAAGCGATTCAAACTCCACCTGGCTGCTTGCATACTTATCTGCTGATCTAAACTATGTGATTGTGCTTTCTGTTCCTTGACTTCCCATCTGGGCTTTTATCTTGTCTTTTATCTGGACATGTTGATTTCTCTTTGAAGTTTCGGACAGTGCTTTGTGATTTGCAGTGCCTGGATGCGGACCTCACTGTTGTCTCCAGATATTTCAGGTTGGGAGCAGTACATTGTTTGGATTTGCCATCAGTACAGTAATAGCAACATCACTCACAGATAACTTTGTTTTCTTAGGCTGATATTAAGAAAAATGGTGGTCTCCCCAAAATGATGCACAATTCTGTCAGATCCAGACCACACTTACCCTTTGGACTGAGAATGATCGTGTTTTATGGCCTCAATTCTACAGTACAGCGTTAATAAATTTGTGTTAGGAATACGACTGCATCATTTGATGCCACAGCATTAAATCGCAAGGGAGGAAGAAACCAATTGCGATAATAATTTTTATTTTTGTTTTTTTAAAATGGATCTTCTGCAGAGGGGGGGAGGAATCAATGGCAGGATATGGCCCACAGTTTGAAAACTTTAAGCAAGTAAAAAAAGGCATAAATCTTTATGATGAAGATTATGATTTTGGCCTCTAAAATAATAGCCAGCATTAACGGTGCCATCGCAACAATTTTATGAGACAATAACCTGGTTCTAAAGTGGATAAACTATGAGGTTGAAGAGTGGGTATTTTATATCAGTGAGGGAGCTGGATTATTGCCCACTAAAAGAGAAGGAATGGTAGCATTACCAGCAGAATGTGATAAGGAGCACCCATTTAAAAAAGGATTATAAGTGATTTTAGAAGGGCTAAATGAAAAAAAATGAAAAAAAAACAAAATTCCAGTACTGAGAGTTCAAATCCCTGGGTTGGTTAGACTCTCGCTTTCAGCGTTATAGGAGGGGGGAGGCTACTGTAAAAGACAACAGAATGTGCTCACAAAGCTTATGCACAAGTAGCATTGCTAAAGTTTGTTTCCAAAAATAATGACCTATTGGATAGGAGTAGGTAAAGGTACCCCTGCCCGTACGGGCCAGTTGTGACCGACTCTAGGGTTGCGCGCTCATCTTGCTCAAGAGGCCGGGAGCCGGCGCCGTCTAAAGATACTTCCGGGTCACGTGGCCAGCGTGATGAAGCTGCAACTGGCGAGCCAGCACCAGTGCCACACATGGAAACGCTGTTTACCTTCCCGCTATAAAGCAGTACCTATTTATCTACTTGCACTTAGGGGTGCTTTCGAACTGCTAGGTGGGGAGGAGCTGGGACCGAATGACGGGAGCTCACCCCGCCACGGGGATTCGAACCGCCGACCTTACGATCAGCAAGTCCTAGGCACTGAGGTTTTACCCACAGCACCACCCGCGTCCCTTGTATAGGAATAGACCTTGGCAAATCAGGGATTAATATTGGTTAGTTGGTTTGTAACCCATCCTTGTAACCAACCTTTCACGATACAATCCCAGGTAGGATACCCCCAATGTCTTCTTCTTCTTTGGCGATCACTCGTGGCTGAGTAAGATTGTCTTCCATGAACACAGTCTTAAGAGTGAGTCCATAAGTGTCCGTGGAGGCCAATTCTGGATCCACACGTCCTTCCACAGTGGGGACATAGGTTTCTGGGCAGGAATTGATCATGGTGAGGGTTTGCCAAACGTGCCATCCCCTTAGCATGTTTCTCCTTGAGTCCTGAGTTTGAGTGCCTTCAAAGCCCATGACACCTTTGGTAAAGGCTGTTCTCCAACTGGCGTGCTCGCAGGCCAGTGTTTCCCAGTTTTCAGTGCTTATACTACATTTTTTAAGATTTGCCTTGAGACAGTCTTTAAACCTCTTTTGTTGACCACCAGCATTATGCTTTCCATTTTTTTATTTCAGAATAGAGCAGTGGCTTTGGAAGATGATAATCAGGCATCCAAATATCCAGCAAAGTTCCCAGTGTAGGAGCTGATGGCTCAACAAAGGGTTATCTGGGGCTGTATTGATCCAAATCAGTTGAAGCCTAGATCTGACCAAATTGGCCCAATTTGGTTTGTTATTCAGGCATTGACTGAATCTGGTTCACAGCCTATTAGTTTCCTGCTGTTTAAAATACTGTTTAAAATCAGGACAGTTTTTAAAGGTTCATCCCCAAAACTTGGATTCCAAAAGTGACGCCAGCACCACCACTCCAAATAGGGAACCACCATTTTAATTTCCCAAAATGCCTTCCCAAGGTGATACTACATTGAGGACACTGTAGGAAATTAAAATGGCGGCTACATCCAACAACTCAGAGGACCAGTACAGAAGAAATAAAAATAAAATGAATCCCTTCCATGGTGGGTCATGCCAGGGTGCTGGGTCCCTGGCAGCTGATAAGGGATATCAGGGACTGGCATCAGTCCTGTTATTACCTGTCAAATCCAATTGTACCAACAACATTCAAAGGCATGGCACCCAAGACACCTAAACAGCTTGTTGTTTTCAAGGAGAGACTTGCTCCAAGTAACAGAACCTTCACTGTCTTCTAGCCCTACCTGTGAAATTCAATGTAACCCCACAGTTTCCTTTCGGATTTGGGCAGCACGGTGACGGTGGTTTTCCTACGAAGTTTCAGAATGTAGATTTTTCAAAAATATTTCTTATTTTTACAAAGCCCGATAAAGTTTAACAAGGAATAGTGCTGTATAATAAACGCCAAGGTGAAATTTATAGTGTGTGCCATACACATAAATCTAAATGTAATCCTGATGCTGGGAGAGAGGAAAGGAAGGGAGCAGCCAAAATGGGCTGCCGTTTGTTGGGCAAGCAGGCCTGGAAGGCAGAGTGGAACACTTGCTTGCAATATTAATAGCATCATTCGCAGTCGGGGAAGGGAAACGAGCCATAGAGCCACAATACTTATCTTGCTTTGACTACTAATTAGCTGCAGGGGTGGATGGAATGATTATCATAAAGATGTGTTGTTTCCGAGAGAGTTTATTTCGGATAATATATTATCCTCCGCACCTGGTGGCGAAGGCCTCCTTTGGCACCAAGAGGCGCCATTAACCCAGTAAGTATTTCACGTGATCAACTGTTAAGTGTCTGTAGCCTCCTCTCAGCGAGACTCCTGGATGCTCAGAGGTAAAGAGTGAAAGGCTCAATGTGAGTCCACCATGTTTTTGCTTACCCCGACCCTTTTGTTGGATATACGTTTCTGAAATGGCTAGCTTTTGACATCGGGTGGAAAGCAAAGTTGCCCCCTGTTCCATCCCCAGCCCCCAAAGAACGGCCCACATGTGCGAAAGACATTAAGCTGAAGTTGTAGGAATCATTTACTTTAAAGCATCCTGAAAGCCATGCAGGAATCCCACCCGCCTTAATGTGAGCGAGGTGATTTATTCGCATATCTGCAACATGTCCCCAAGTTCTCCTTTTGCAGGAATCAAAGTGCACTCGAGTTTCGCATTCCCAAACTCCTTTTATTTCAACGTGAAAGTGATTAAAGATGTTTATCTAAGCCTAAAGGCCTTAAGACTATGCCACTTTCATTGGGAGAACAATTAATCTGAACTTTGGGGGGATCTTAGACACATAAGAAGAGCTTTTGAGAACTCCCCATTTATCCATTTTCCATTTTCCCTAACAAGAAACGAGGTTAATACATGAACAAGCAATGCAAAAGAGTGATATAAAGGAGTATAATGGTTCAATGAAAGAAATTGGCTGTCATGGGCATAATGTTGGAGACATGTTTACAGATCCATGTGTTGGGGGGGGGTTAGAAGTCTGCAAAAACAGGGCTTTTACCGCACAGGGATGCATAATTGGGAGGGGAGAACACAACACAAACCACAAGATAGAGTTTGGATCCTGATTTGGCACTTCAGGGAACAGTCTGACAGTTCAAAGGCTGCCCGATATGCCTTGGCATCTGAGACCCGGGTGGAATCTACATACATGTTTAAAACACTGTGAAAATGCTTTTTTAAAAAATCGTTTTGAAAAAAGCATTGAATTTGCTATAGCTCACAGTCGCCGTTTGGTGTCACAATTGTATATCGCACTTTACAACACATTCAAAACATTTTATTTGCAGCTGAGTCCCATGTCTGCTCCTGTAAAACAACAACAAACCCCCATTCTCTCTTGGGAATCAAACAATGGCTAAAACCCGCCGCCGCCCCACCTTGATAGAAGCAGATAAAATTCACTGTACAAAACATTGTTTGTACAGAGCAGCTCCGGAGCTAAATTACATCTCAAAGTGGAGAATCTTTACAAAAATCCACAGATACAAGACAGAATCATAGAATTGTAGGGTTGGAAGGGAACCTGAGGATCATCTCGTCCAGCCCCCTGCAACGCAGAAATATGCAGCTGTCCCATACGGGGATCGAACCTGCAACCTTGGTATTCTAAGCACCATGCTTTAACCTACTGAGCTATCCAGGCTGACAAACCTGTGTAATGACTGAATTTTATGAGTGAAAAGTATATTTTCAAAGCCAGGGCCTGAGGCCTGAAGAAACAGGCAGTCTCCATGTGTCCAGGGACCTGTTATCTAAGAAATATGGAACTACCGTATTTTTTGCTCTATAAGACTCACTTTTTCCCTCCTAAAAAGTAAGGGGAAATGTGTGTGCGTCTTATGGAGTGAATGCAGGCTGCGCAGCTATCCCAGAAGCCAGAACAGCAAGAGGGATTGCTGCTTTCACTGCGCAGTGATCCCTCTTGCTGTTCTGGCTTCTGAGATTCAGAATATTTTTTTTCTTGTTTTCCTCCTCCAAAAACTAGGTGCGTCTTGTGGTCTGGTGCGTCTTATAGAGCGAAAAATACGGTAGTTCCCACAGAAGGCAGTGATGGCCACCAACTTGAATAGCCTTAAAGGAGAATTAGACAAATTCATGCAAGACTAGTCCAGCAGCAACTTCTAACCATGGTGCCAATGTTATGTCTCCACTGTCAGCAGCATTATGCCTCTGAATGCCAGTTGCTGGGAATTTCAAAGTGTTGGTGCTGACCTTTAAAGCCCTAAATGGCCTCGGTCCAGTATACCTGAAGGAGTGTCTCCACCCCCATCGTTCAGCTCGGACACTGAGGTCCAGCTCTGAGGGCCTTCAGGGCGGTTCCCTCATTGCGAGAAGTGAGGTTACAGGGAACCAGACAGAGGGCCTTCTCGGTAGTGGCACCCGCCCTGTGGAACGCCCTCCCATCAGATGTCAAGGAAATAAGCAGCTATATTATTTTTAAAAGACTGCTGAAGGCAGTCCTCTTTAGGGAAGTTTTTAATATTTAATGCTGTACTGTTTTTAACACTTGATTGGGAGCCGCCCAGAGTGGCTGGGGAAACTCAGCCAGGTGGGTGGGGTATAAATAATAAATTATTATTATTATTTCAGGTGGGTAGAGTGCTGTTGTGCTTGAGTCCAGTTTGCAAGCATCCCATAGACATCTGGCCAGCCCCTGTGATAGGTAAAAAGGTAAAGGACCCCTGGACGGTTAAGTCCAGTCAAAGATGACTGTGAGGTTGCGGTGCTCATATTGCTTTCAGGCCGTGAGAACCAGCATTCGTCCACAGACAGCTTTCTGGGTCATGTGGCCAGCATGACGAAACCACTTCTGGCACAATGGGACACCGTGACAGAAACCAGAGCACATGGAAACACCATATACCTTCCCACCGCAGCGTTACCTATTTCTCTACTTGCACTGGTGTGCTTTTGAACTGCTAGGTTGGCAGGAGCTGGAACAGAGCAACAGGAGCTCACCCTGTTGTGGGGATTCGAACTGCTGACCTTCTGATTGGCAAGCTCAAGAGGCTCAGTGGTTTAGACCACAGCGCCACCCATGTCCTCGCCCAGCCCCTGAGATAACAGCATGCTGGACTGGTTGGGTCATTAGCAGCAGGCTCTTCTTAGGTTCCTATGTTCAAGGGCAAAGGCAAAAGGAAATTAAAACATAGCATCACACTCTCCAAAAATGTTCAAGCTGCAGGTTACTCTGTGCTCCACAGTCTCCCTGCCGTGTCAGTAAAGTGCTGATTTGGAAGTAATTGCATGTGACGCATTTGTCAGTGCTTTTGTTATATTAATTACTTCATGGTGAAGATGCTGGGTGGTTTTTGCTATGGAGATGTGAGAGTCTGCTGTCACTTGGTGAGTCATGGTCTCAGTATTTAATGTAGTGTTGACTAAGGATAATTTCCATTCCTACCTATTTAATGTACTGTGGAGCGGGGAGAATTTCTGGTCCCACTGAACACTATGTTGTGAAGCATTTTAGCTAGTGAATATATAAGAAGACAGAAGACAAATCCCCAGTCTTGTTAAAGGCACAGAACTTCTGTTGACTCCTAGTCGTTTGCCATTTGTATGCTGTTACTCTTCTTGACAGCATCCTCTTGCAATGACCAGAGCGGCCTCCCCCAAAGTGATGCTCTACAGATGTTTTGGTTGATAGCTCCTGTCAGCCCAGGCAACATGGCCAATAGGGGGTGAGGGAAGGTGTATCCAAAGCAACCTCAATGCAACCAGCCCAGGGGAGGCTGGTCTAGAGCACAGCAGTTAGACCAGAAAGTGCTTGATTCAAACACCTGCTTTGTGGTGAAGTTCATTGGCTAACTGGGTGACCCATTAGTGGGAAACTTCAGACTCATGGGCCTAATTAAGCCCCCGAGACTCCCAGTTTTATCCATGAGGCCATTTTAGGCAAGTCATGCCCTGTAATAAATAATAATAATAATAATAATAATAATAATAATAATAATTTATTACTTATACCCCACCCATCTGGCCGGGCCTCCCCAGCCACTCTGGGCAGCTCCCAACAGAATATTGAAAACACAATAAAACATCAAACATTAAAAACTTCCCTAAACAGGGCTGCCTTCAGATGTCAGGTAGTTGTTTATTTCCTTGACATCTGATGGGACGGCGTTCCACAGGGCGGGCACCACTACCGAGAAGGCCCTCTGCCTGGTTTCCTGTAACCTCACTTCTCACAATGAAGGAACCACCAGATGGCCCTCGGAGCTGGACCTCAGTGTCCGGGCTGAATGATGGGGGTGGAGACCCCCCTTCAGGTATTTAAAGGTCAGCACCAACACTTTGAATTGTGCTCGGAAATGTACTGTGAGCCAATGTAGGTCTTTCAGGACCAGTGTTATATGGTCTTGGTGGCCACTCCCATGTACATCACCTGACATTACATGATGTCAGTTGCAGAAAACATAAAGCCATGGGGTCAGGAGCTGGAGTCAGAGTAAAGGTAAAGGTAAAGGGACCCCTGACCATTAGGTCCAATCGTGGCCGACTCTGGGGTTGCGGCGCTCATCTCGCTTTATTGGCCGAGGGAGTCGGCATACAGCTTCTGGGTCATGTGGCCAGCATGGCTAAGCCGCTCCTGGCAAAACCAGAGCAGTGCACGGAAACACCGTTTACCATCCCGCCGGAGCGGTACCTATTTATCTACTTGCACTTTGAGGTGCTTTCGAACTGCTAGGTTGGCAGGACCGAACAACGGGAGCTTACCCCGTCGTGGGGATTCAAACTGCCAACCTTCTGATCGGCAAGTCCTAGGCTCTGTGGTTTAACCCACAGTGCCACCCGTGTCCCTGGAGTCAGAGTAGGTCAGCAATAGTAATAATAAAAAAATCCACACTGGTATCACTGAAGTTAACTCTTTATTCAAAGAAACCAAAACACCGCAGGCCTAGAGATTGCAGCAATGCTTCCCATTATGTCATGCTGGGATGAGGCAATTGCAAGGGCTTTTACCTTGCAAAGGTAAGAGTCACATCCATTGCCCTAGCCAATTTTTCCCTTTGGCTGCAGCCACCATTAGCAGGCAGCCCCTGGTAGGATGGCCAAAAAGGAATGGATCCTTGAATTTGTGTGTTCCTCCAGAACTTCCACTTTACAATAAGACCTGACTAGGACTCCATTTTTCTTTACTAGTTTCCTAAAACCTTGGAAGCCTTCTGACTTTCAGGACGATGAAAGCTGATTGCTTCTGCTACATGCTTACAGCTTTGACACGAAAATGGAGGTGGAAATTCGACCCTCGGACCCACTCCAGGAGAGTGCCAGGAAATTCGTGTCACAATGAGCTGCGAAGATAGCAAGAGGGTACCCAACAAGCAAGCTGTTCAAACTTATCCTTTCAGTGTGTCAGAAGATTTTGATAGCATCAAAGGGGAGAGCGGGGTGGCAAAAGGTCAGCCATTCAGGATCCGCCCCCCCAGGCAGTCTTCATAGCAACTTTCACACTTCAACAGAAACTGTCACATTTCCGCGGGTCATTTCGGTCCTCCCCACCTGCTTTTATCTGGTTCTTAAGCGGTCAGGGGTTGCTAGGGACACACATGTCTCTGATGCATGAAAACAGCTGAATTGTTGGCACGAAGCGGGAATATAAAAGACACAGGATGAAAGGGCCTGCAAGCAAATCAACTGAGTTGAAGTGGGGAGGACTTGAAGGCAACAACATGAAACCTATTACAGCGAGACTGATAGGATTCATGCAATTTTACATAAAATAAAATCTCAAAACCCAAATTTGTTTTCCAGTGTTTCTCATTATCTGCCTAAGTTTTAACACTATATATATATATATATATATATATATATATATATATATATAGGCAAAGATTGGGGTTTATTTTCAACCTCGGAGGGTTAAGACAGATGAAATGCAGAAGGGTGGGAAGAAGAAGAAAGATTTGTAAGGAGACAGAGAGGTATTGAAGAAGAGGCACAAAGGGGAATTCCTCCCCTCCTGACCCCTTAAATGTCTACTGACACTCGTCATCAGAAGTAGGCACACTTCAGCTCAGAGCTGTAGTACCCTCACATTTGGGGAGGGCGGCTCAAAGTGATAGTTTACATTTGGGCAATGCAGAAGTGGCTTTCTGGGTGCGGCAGAGCCACTACATTACCTTCCTGACAGGTGAGCCGCTGTTTTTTACTGGGAGGGAGAGGGGTAAGGCGGTGCAGAGGTCAGCTCAATGCAACACTGGTGAGCCAATTTGACACTCCTGCCAGTGCATTGACGCTGTGCCGCCCTCCCTCTGCCACCTTGCCTCTTTCTCCTGGTAAGCAACAGTGACACTTGCTGGGAAGCTACCAGTGAGGCTCCATCCCATGAGGCAAGCCAGATCTAAAGGAGAATAGGAAGCTGTCTTACAGTGAGCCAGCATTCCCTACTCTGACCGGCAGTGGCTTTCCCGGGTTTCAGGCAGGGGTTGCTCCCAGCCTTACCTGGAGACACCAGCAATAGAACCTGGAAGCTTCTGCAGGCAAAGCAGATGTTCTACCAGTGTTATGGTCCTGGCTGGATTGGGACTGTGTACGTACCACTGAACAGATGGTCAACGCTGTTGGCTCTGACCACACCAAATACTTGCTGGATATGTGTGGAAAGGGCTCGGATCCAAGCATTTCCACCCCTCCTTT